TATTTCTACATTAACAAATTCATTGCTTTTTCAGGCTATTAAAGGATCCGCACAACATTTTACAAATATTCAAGTTAAAACTGAAAAACTCCAAACAGTAACAACTAAAATTCTTTCAAAATGGAGGCTTTAAGGTTCTAGAGATCAATGACTTCAAGTGTTACAGGTTTCTGTATTTAAAACTTTATTCCTCCTCCTCGTCTGCCAAGATCAAGTTACCTTGCGAGGCAGCTAGACTTGTGAGATCACACAAGAATCCAGCCCTGATTTACTACATAGCCTGCCCCAAATAATCCCCACAGAAGAAACAGTATTGCCAAATCTCTACCAGTGGATGTATTTCTATTGCCGTTCAGTATATACCGCCATATCCCCCAACCCTAGGTGCTATGGTACTATGATACATTTTCCTAAGCTTCAATTATGCTTTACTGTCAATGCTGCACAGTTGGTAGGAGTAGTGCTATGACATGTACGCTCAATACAAACAAGGTAGTGGTGGCAAGGTCTTGGTGAAAATTAGCTGTCTGAATATTTGAAATTGAAAAGCTTTAAAAAGGGACCATGTTTGTTTTCAGTGCACAATCATTGAGTTGATCATTTGGACATTCTGTTATTAATTGCAATGAATATGTGTGGGTGCAAATATGCAGCATTACATAATAAAGCCCAATAATGTAAATAAACACATTCTACAATCAGCAGACACAAACATAAAAAACATGATTTAATGCAATGTAAGAAACAATTTCAATAAGTCTGTCTGCAGCTGTTACTAAACTGCTTTAAGACTTCACGAAAGCCTTCCACTTCGGTTGACTAAATCCCTACAACTACCTGAAGGCAGCAGGAGATGTACAATGTGTGTTTTATCTGTAACAAGTGCCGCATCAAAGAGCAGAGACATTACGCACCATGATCCGCTGAGGTTACCTTGAGGAAATCATGCACAACCAAACAGGGCGCTGCAATAAAAACCTGCACACATCAGGCTGGTCTGCTTCAACGTGGATGGTATTCTGCCACTTTATCTGTTGCATTTTAATAGCAAAATGAAGAGGTGGAGCGGACTTAAAATAGGAATGTTTTAGCAACATTTAACACTGGTAAGTTAAGAGTTGACTTTTAAGCAGAACAAAACTCCCACAAAAAAGAAAAACTCTTGATGGAGAGTCGTGTAACTGTCAGAATATCCAGTTGACAGTGACGATTTCCACACTGTAGGCCGTCAACATGCGGTGTGTCAGTCAGTTGTGGCTCCTTCAGTAGAGGCAATCATGTGCAATCTTTTGAGGGGAGGCCAGGTGGAGCTGGCATCCTTTGATTACAAACAGCGTTAATTATCACTCAATCAATCAGCTTTGGCCACTGCTGCAAGAACTGCCAATGCTTCTGGAAATCAACACCCACTTTCCAGCTTTTTGCTGCGTTCAGCTAATTGCTCTGACACACAGACAAAACCAAAACAATACAGTTTTCTTATAAAACCATGTGTGTCGACTATCACTAGAGCTGGTAGACCAAACCAAGACTTACCACCGGTTAATATAAAACCTACATTTCAATGGTAACCACAGACAAGCCTTAGATACTGCTTTGTTCCTTCTGGATGTTTAAGTAGGTTGTTGTTTTCTATAATAATCACCAAAAAGAACCTCATAAGCTGAAAATTTGTTGCTGTCAGTTCACCGTCGTTCTGCTCCTTAGTGGTCAAAATTGCTTAATGCAACTCTTATTAGGAAGGTAACGAGCGCTGTAGAGGGGACAGGGCCTGTAAAATGTCCTCAGAGATGGAAGGCCTGTTCCTAAGGAATGAGGAATGAGTTAAGCAAGTACAAAGTGTGATTTCACACCTATAGTGAGGGTGGCTGGATGGTGAGTGGGTGGCACGGCTGTTACCCACACGATGCCAGTCTGCCAGGGCACCACCTAGGGCCCTGTACCCCCTCCTTCCCCCTCCCTCCCTGTGACGCCATGTTCCCCTTGCCCTGCAACACCAGTGCCCATCTGCTAGGACACGTTAGCCTCTGGCGCCAGGGACTATTTAGCCTGGCGTAATTAGCCCCCAGACACCAGCAGCCTGGTTTTAAACAGATGTGGGGGAGGTAGCGCTTGCAAGGCGACTCAACACGACCAACCAATGTTTGATAAGGAAGAGAGGAGAGAGGGGGGAAGGAGAGAGAGAGAAGAGAAGAAGAAGTGACCTAGTTAAAGGGATGATGCAACTCATGTTACAACACAATGGGCAGTAATGATGACAACCCCACTTGCTCGGACTGTCCAATGCCATGGTCGAGGAAGGATGAGCAGAGGAAATCTAATTAGGCTGTGTCCATTTGCTGTACGACAAGCAAGGATGAGAAAATAAGCAGAAAAGTGATGTTCTGAACAAAGAAAATGCTCCGTCTAAACTCCCCAATGTGATTTCCCTATTCAAATATCCTTACTGAGTTTCTGTGCTCTGGGGCTGACCTTTAACAGGGGACACAGAGAGGTTACGGTTTAGATGCCCTTGAACCTCACGACCGTAATCACACGTGACTGTAACGGCATTGACCTTTCCCTGGCTCTCTCCTTTCCTCCTCGCCATCTTTTTCTCCTTCCCTTCCCCCAGGGTCATTTGAGGGTCCAGACTCTTGTCAAGGCTGTCACTCTAGACAGCCCTCTCCATCTACCGCCCCCGCTGTTGCCATGGCAATGGACGGCACTGCGCTCCGAGGACTGTGTGAGGGGGCAGAGGGAGCCAGCGGACGGATGAACGCTGCAGCATCTCTCCCTAACCTAGGTCAACCTTGCAGAGCTAGTGTAAGTGATGGGTGGGGATAAACGCTGGCCATGCTGCTTGAGGACCAAATAAACTGGCAGGATAACATCAGCGCAGGGATTGGAAATGGCAAAATTGATGGGAGAGGAAGAGGGCTAACAGTGATGAAACAAAGAACATAGGTGGAGGCAGTACAGTGGAGGAATTATATACTGCCCACATCATTCTCTCGGCTTCTCGCTCGCATTTAACACAAAGTCCAATATCTTAAATTTGGTCTTTCCGCTGTTTTAAAGTAGTAATCATGTCATCTTTGTCTTCATCAAATGCGCACGCAAAAGCACATGCGCGCACACACACAGGGAAACGTGACCTGGGGGCAGGCAGTGGAGCAGCACACGTGTAGTACCACAGAGCTCCCAGCCAGCATGAGTCACTCCGAACACCAGTCAACCCAGAGAGAACAATGGCAACCGGTGTGTGAGGTGTCTGTCAAGCACGCACACACTGGCACAGGATGAAGCGCCTCGGATGGAGTAACGCCCCACTGCGCCACCATCAGACTACCATTTGCTTTGTGCTTTTTAACACCGTGGATGCATATTTGCATGAGTGTGTCACATTGTAAATTTTACGGCTGCACAATTCTAGCGTACTAATGATTCCATTATTCAAACCAGTCTGTATTTCTTTCTACAGGAAAAGTAGTTCATGAAGCCTGATAGATATCAGATCGAGAAAAATTCAAACAGTACAGCAATATATTATTAAACCATGATAAAAAACAATCATATAGCTAGGGAAGCCAGCTCTGTTGGTACATACTGTTACATACTTCAGCAGATTTCATTCTTGACTGCCTGAGAGATACACTCCAGCAGCCCACAGCGGACAAACACCTGTCCATAATACACTTGAACTGGACCTGGCATTCACTGGTGATTTGGGATGTAGGCTAAAATAAGCAGCGGCTTTAAACTTTATTTAGCAGCCGCATAAAGTGTATGGTGATTGAAAAACAATAGATAAAACAACGTAAGTGCAGCAGCACACGCGCTGTGCTACAAAATAAAGATGTAGGTTTGAGTCCCTGCCTGAGGACTTGTTTCCAAAATTCTTGCGAAGCTCAAACCAGCAGCTGTAAAGGCAAAATCATGCTGCATTGGATGATGTCAGAGTGGTCAACACAGGTTGAAACAGGCTGCGTGTCAAATATCTCATTGTTTAACTGTCTGTCATGGAATGAGTGTTGAGTTTAACACAGCAAGCAGATACTGTAGATCAATGATACTCAACTACTGGCCTGTGGGCCAAATGTGGCCAGTGATAGGGTGCCGGGTGGCCCAACAAATGTTTTATAATGAAAATAAACGTATTCAAACTGGAAATAGGAGGATATGGTGCCAGAGTGCATCAAAACATCAAAACAGAGATTGTTAATCAAAAACAATGGCCAGAGAGGATCCCCAGACCACCCAACAGACCCCGGTTAATTATTTATATATCAATTATTAATGTTTGTTTATTAACTGGCCCCTGGCCTCCTGTCATTTTGCAAAAGTGGCCTCGGGCAAAGCAAGTTGAGTATTCCTGCTGTAGGTCTTTTGCCATTTGATGGCATTGTTTTGAAGAGGAAACGGTTGCACAAAACAAAGCACAACTGATCCTCAACACGCTGCCTCTTGTTCACAAAAACTTGGGAGTAAACTATAGATGCACAGAGGGATACTGTAGAAAGAAAAAAATCTGCAGCCACCATGTAGAGCAGAAGCCTCAGAGAAACAAGGACTATTTCACCACATACACTTTTTCCCCACAGGTACACTTTGCTCACCTCTGAGAAGCCCCCAATTTCAGCTTGGTTAGGTGTGCCCTGCTAGAAAACAACAGAACCCTTTGATGGCAGTCCGAGCCATGACCTTTGACCTACAGCTAACCTCCCGAGCTGCTATTGGCTGATCTGAAACTCACACAGCTGACCAGCACAACAAATATCAATAACACAGAGCATAGCCTGTTCTTTCCTAGATGTACTTCTGTGTAGAGATGAGATGCATTAAGGGTTTTACACAAACTCAATACTGTAAATGCATCCAGTAAAGACCACACACTTTGCTTCACTTTAGAAGAATTAAATAATTGAATGGGTCAGAATGAGAACTAAAAAGCTCATTTGCAATTCCCCCTTATCGCAAACATGCACAGATCCATAGAAACAGTGCGAATACAGCCTTACCTGAAAGCTTAATCAGCAGCTCAGAGGCCACCTTAACGTTGATATCCTGGCTCAGCAAGCTGTTCTTTGCCATGGGGCTCCCTTCCCTCGGTTTCAGCGACCCTGGACGCTCTGTGGCTGCTGTCGCCCCCGCTGGCCCCTCCTGGCAGAAAGTGGCAGGGAAGCTTGGCTGGACCTGGCTCTGGGACTGGGAGGATGGTCTCGGGCTCAGCGCTTCCTCCACTTTGGGCTCTTCCTTCAGGTGGAACGGAGACTTGAGCGTCTCCCTCTGGTTGGCTGCTGCAGTCGGAAAGAAAAGAATGAGAAGAATTAAGAAGGTTAATTTGAGGAAAGCAAGCAGAAAGGAGTCAAAATACTAGTTGTGACCAAACAAGTGAGGAGGTCTGTCGGGTAATTTGAAATGTGTAAGTTTAACCCAGAAATAATAAAAGGCCAAACGGAGGCGTTCTTTCTATCACCGCATCTGCCTTACATTACTTACTGAGTGTATGGCAAAAGGTCTCTAAAACTTGCATGCACCCAAGGGTCACATACTGCATTCTGTATATCCTTCAGCGTGTGGCGAACATCTATCTGATGTAATGTTTTTAAATGGAAAGTGCTGTTAGTTTTATATGATGCAATGTTTCTTTATCTATACCCCTGTCTGAGATCTAACATCTGATGCCAGTATTCTTTTGTTGATTTGCCTGCGCAGGGACTGCTGAGACTCAACTGTCCCTGCTAAAAAAAAAAAAATGGAAAAACTTCTTAAATGTATTGTGGTGTTAACGTTTACTGAAAAAACAAACACCTGAAGTTAAGTGTAATACGCCACAAGGACATCACATCGCCGTTTTCAGACAACATAAAGTACAATACACGAAAATGCAAATTAAATGGAACAAAGTGGTCCACAGTGGATTGTCACAGCCCTATCGCTGCAACAGACACCACAGTTGGCTCGCTGTGGGCCAATACAGAGGGTGCAACCTCGTGACTGTCCTTCTCTCTCGGTCTTTAGGGCATCCACAACAAATTCCCAGTTCATTTCCCTCCTCTTTTCTCCTTCACACTGTCCCCTCCCCATCCCATTAACGTCCGTACACTCTAATTCTCGGCGCTATTCTGCTTTAAGTCTGGCTCCCTCATCCCGCCTGAATTGTCTGATTCCTCTTCAGATGTAAGAGCATAAAATAACTCCTGTACTTCTGTGGAGCGCGATAGCAATCTGGCTTATCTGCCATCTCTGCAGTGTGTAGCCTAGGTTAGGGAGTGAACTGTCACATGGATCCCTCTGCTCTAAAGTCATCTTCAAGAGAAACTGGGCCACATCTAATCCGCCTTAGATGAATAATTAATAATTAGACATGGAGCAACTTCCGATAGCCGCCAAGAAAAGAACAGCGGGGCAAGCGCCTCTCTTTGTGTCTCTCAGCACGTTCCAAATAAAACTCCGCACTAAAACGAAGGTTTACACAGGCTATAGCTTACACCACTGTTGACATTTAAAATGGCTATAAAGCACCGAGAGAAGCCATAGAAATATGTTTTAAAATGCATTCTGCTCGCCTGTGCAAAGTCACTTGATATCTTCTTTTCATTCAGTGCAACTATGGAAACCATGGGGAAGGTTAAAGGATACTATTGTCCACTATTGTAACCTGATTTACAGCGGGTGCGCCATGCCATTTTTCAGAACCAATTACAGCACTAAGTACTTCATTAAGTGGATTGGCTGTTGGCAGTACAGATCTGAATACATGAAACTTTAAACACTTACATGCATGTGTGTTTAAGCTGTTGCTCAATATATATCTTTACAATATGCCATATTATTAGAACTGTGTAAAATATTCATTGTATTTTGTCCTTTCTGGTTTTATGAGCCAATATATTTTGTAATTTTTTGACTTATTACGGTTAATTAGATAACAAACACCTGCTGTAGGAGGAAGTGGGGAAGCAGAGTTTATTTGAGCAAAGCATGAAGTTTGTAGGAAGTGTGTGTGTAGAACCTCATGTTCGCTGCACTGTTGCCATGTTGTCGTCTGCCAAAAGTAAAAACAAATAAGCCACTATGGATGAATTAGTATCTGCGACTGAGGTGTTGTGGTTAAGACGGTTTCACACGTGAGTCACGAAGCAGAGCCTCGTTGCTATAGCGAAGTTTGAGAAGCAAAGGTTGCTTTCTATATTTTTCTTTAATTGTAAAAAATGTATGGACCTTTAGAGTTATTTCTCCTCACAGCAGAATACTACATGTATGGTATGATATGATGTTAATGTTATAGTAAACACACAAACACATTTTAGGAGCTGCAGAGGAGCTTCACAAAAGTTCACCTCTAAAATTACCTGTACATTTATGTTCAAAAATAAAATATAGGGTTGTACCGAAGGTCTTTGTTTTACATTTGAAGCTTCTATTGAGGTTTTTAAGTGAAGCTTCGAATGTCTGTCGTCATATTTTATGAAATCATCACCCTAAAAAAGAAATAAAATCCTTGAACAAAATCCTTAATTTGAATACAGTGATTCATCGGATCAAATGAGTCTTTCTCTATTAAATCAAATTTCTATAATGAATACATGTGATTTATGGTGCTGTTGGATTACTGCTAGACCGTCTCATTACTACAGGTGTGTGCCTCTTTTTGCAGCGGGAGAGCAAATAGTTTTTGTCTTCAGTGATAATATCGTTTTTGTAAGGTTAAACAAATATGGATTTAAGATGAATATTTGTTCAGATAAAAACCTGTCATGAATTTTAGAAATGATTACCTTTGTCTTTTTTCAATGAATTTTGACTTTTTTGACTTTGAAATGTTTGGCTGACACAAGTTGTAAAACAATCCTACATCGCCACCACTGAAATCTTATTCAACACATAATTTAATACTAAATAAATAGTATATCGTACTATATCTCTGTGTATTGCACATTCTTTGGACAATTTTTTTTTACATATTTTTTACCACTTCTAAGAACTGCACAGCTAATTCAGATAGATTGTTCATATTTTTTTTCAGTATTTTTATCATAACTTTATTCTATCCTATATTTTTGTCTCTCAATTTTTGCAATACTTGTTTTTATTTTTTAATTTCATTTTCTCTTACCGTGTTTATGTTATGCATCAATACACCAAAGCAAATTCCTTGTGTGTAAAAACATATTTGGCGATAAACCAGATTCTGATTCTGATAAGTGTAACCTGATCTTTATCTGCAGCTGTGCAGAAATACCAGGTTTAAACAGACGGAACAAACATGCAAAAAAAAATCTGTGCAGCATTCAAACTTTAATTTAGACAACACTATTTACAGCCCTAAAATTTGATTGAAATTACAATCTTAATAAACTTATTCCAATGGAGTTTGATTGTGTCTGAGCCAGGTACCAGCAAACATATCTATTTATCTCATGAACATCCTTCTGAACTCTTGACACATCAACAGTTTTCAAGCAATCTGTACACTCCTGCTATCTGTCACACACACACACACACACACACACACTCATGTGCACACATACAGACACAGGGCATGGATATAAGAGAGGCTATCACTCTTGGGCAGACTGCTGTCCAGTCTCCTCTGGCCCCAGCAGAGATCTGCTCTGCTCCTCACCCTACCGTCTCACCTAACATCTCTAACCGCCACAGGCCCGCCGCCCCCTGCCCGCATCATCAATCTGTGCCGGCTCCGGCCCCTCTGATTAATGATGATCTATGCCGGAGGGATAGAGGGCTCAGGGACGGGGGATACGGGGCAGGAAGAGGGGACAGGTGCTGGTGTTTTGACCACCCATGTGGTGCCACGATGCCACAGTGCCACACCATGGCGGGCCGGGACTGCAGTTCAAGAGGGGGAGAAGGAAGAGGTTGAGCGGTGGGGGGGTGTGTGTGTGTGTGTGTGTGTGTGTGAGGGGTGGGGGTGGGCAGTGACCTTCAAGTTCAGGGGCAGTGGCGCAGGGTCGCATGCGGCACCAGCTGGAAATGTCACACCGTCAGATGTCAGCGGGCAGGCTAAGTATAACCTGGTCAGCACCTGGAAGGACGTCCTCTAATTAGAAGCGTGTTGGGCCATGTCGGATCAGACAGGGACAGCACACTTGGTCACCGCCTTACAAACACACATAAAAATACACTATCCCGTTTACCCACACAGACACACGCTTATCTATATCTTCAGAGAAATCCTGACTTGGTGTTGTCACATACAACAGTGCAGTGTCATGCTGCATTCAAACCATATGGGAATGCCGGGCTGCACATAAGCCACTGACAACTACAGACGCAACACAAACTTAAGATTCTCAAATTCTTCTCCTCTGTGGCCTCACGAGAACAAAAACAACCCCAGGACGTGCACTCACACACAAAGTCACACCACTCCGGTGACCTTTTGGATTGTCGCTATAAATAGAGTGTATTTCCACTCAGAATCTATGTTACAGAGCCCAATGAATTATTTAGTAGCCTAATCCAATGGGCAAGTTTTTTTATTCCTCTACGCTGATGGCTCAATAACAAAAAGTCAGAGAACACTACCAAGAGGAACAATTCAGCCTGCAATGCTAAGCTTACACTTTGGCCTTTTGTCTGTCAGAATTTCACAATCACAATAGCATCATGAGCACTGTGAAGTGAGCACAGATCTGAGGAGGAGACGGGCATCTCTGGGTGACTGGGCATCTCCTCGGTGAGCTTCCTGCCTGCGCGAGTACGTACCCCGGCCAATGTCAGCTCCCTGTGCATGATACTGTACGGCTGGTTCTAGCTCAGGGTTGACGATGCTATCAGTTTGTCTCCATGTTATCACACCCTTCTGACACCTGCCACCAATGCCACTTTCATCCCCGTTCTCTTCCCTGTTCCTCTCCCCTTCACCACGCTCCTCTCTCGCGCCTCATCCGTCTCGCTGCCAGGCGCTTGTCCACTCCGCCTCACCTCTCGCTCCGTGGCCAGGGCTGCCGTCAAATAACTTCATTAGCTTTCCACCTCTGTCACGCCGGCCTGCTCCCCCTCTGACAATTGGCTGCTGTTTTCTCCCGGAGAAAAAAAAAAAAAAAGCACAGGGCTACGTGGGGCAGGTTGAGAACCCAACAATAGCTGACAGTGTGCTAGACACCGGACAGTGATACTGATGGCTGCAGTGGGGATGTATGGACCAGAGGTCACACACAAAAGGCCTGCCTGTGTCCGCTCATGCAGAGCTGGAAAGCAAGGGACATGTAGATTAAATCTTGATGTTCACAAAGTGACAAAACTAAAGACGAGACATTTCAAGATTCTAAATATTCTGTGTCATCTGCACTACGCTTCTACATTCAATAGATGCCCCTATGGTGTTTTAAAATACAGCAACACAAAAAATGCCTATATCTCGGAAAATGACGTGACAAAAGAGTGAAGAAAAAATCTATGATCTCTAAAATTACTCAAGATTTTTCATGTACGATGATGAAATTCTGCCTGCGCGTCGTTTCATCGTAGCAAAGCAACACATGCAACATACTCTCTCAGGAAAAGGATAAATAAGACAACTGCAGAAGCATCATGACAGATGCAACACCTCCCACAACCCCCTGCATGCCAATTATTCACACCCAGCCAGGGTCAAGCTCATTGTGCCTGTGTCACCGCAGCGGGGGGTGGGGGGGTGTCGGTGTTTGGAGGGTGTGCAGTGCCCACTGTCATTATTAACTCAGGGTCCACTGGGCACAGGGTAGGGGCTGTGCATTTCAAAGTGCCTCCGTGGCTTTCATCTCTGAATCAAAATGTGGATCACACTGGATAGCTAACGGTTGTGTCAGCGTGCAAGGATAAAAATCAAAGGGTATCAGTATAACACTCAATGGAAAGCAGGGCAGCCCAAAAAATGATATGCTTATTATGTCAGAGGTCAGGAAGAGTTCACTGGCTCTTTATGCCTGGGGAACTCGATGCAACTCCCTCTTTGCCTCTTTCTCCCTCTCCCTCGCTTGCTGTCACTTTATCTGTCTCTTTTTTTTTATCTTTCCCTCTCCAGCTTTTTATACCCCCCCCCCCCCCTCCTTCTTCCAGGCCTTGTGGGATTGAGGCACTGAGACAGCAGTGTAAAAGCAGGAGGGATGAGCTGCTCGTGTACACATTCAATCTGGGTTGGCAGGGAGGTCAAAAGAAATAGAGTCTAGAGGTCCCAGGAGGAACTTCCTCACCTCTCCCTCCCTGGCTGCTCCGTGGCATGGGTAAGTCTTACAAAGATCTGAGCCCAGTTCTTCTTAGTTTCATAACCCTCTATCTTTAACTCCGCCCCCCAACAAAGGGAGAACTTTGTGATCAAAGACACAGTATTCATTAAAACCCATCATCATGCATTGAAGTTCAACATCCTCTCGTTCTGTCTTTTTATATCCGTTCTCATTCTCCTTGAATGATGCCCTGACTAAGATGTCCGCCACTTGACACTGGACTGACATTGCGAGGAGCCATCTTGGCTCCTCTGGGACTTGCCTGGGCTTGATTGTGCAGTCTGGGAGCGAAGTGCAACTGGCACCCAGGGGGCATCCATGTGGAGCCCGGGCGTGCGAGATCGAGGGGGAGTTAACTAAGCCAGCCCAGTCCCTGTGCATCCTGGCGGGGTCAGAGGATGGCGCTGAGGGCGCTAATCATTTCAAATTATGAATTCCTTTTTAATTATGAATTATGCATAAATTTTTAATTAATCTAATGTTCCCAGGGTTTTTTCCTCCCATCCGCGCTCAAGATCTCAATCTAATTACACAGCATTAAGTGGAAGAGTGGCAGCCGTAGCCTCGACCCCGATGCTGAACCTTGGTCAACCTTTTTCCATCAATCTTGCCATCGTCTCCGAGCTCATCCTTTGATATTTTGCAACATGGTGAAATGCATCTAAACACAGTGTGGACCTGGTGTACCTTAGAGCAGCATGTTTGTCCAGTTTATTAAAATAATGCTGTATCATTATGTTGTAAAGCTCGGGGGAAAAGTCCATGTCACAGTGCAACTTCTCCAGTGGCAGAAAATACTGAATTACATGTTAACTTGTAAGTGTTTAACTGTTTCATATTACTGCTACCATTACTGTTAGCCATAAGTTCTGAGGTGCAGACATCTAGGTGTACAGCATCAACTGCAAGAAAGGGCAAGACTTCACCAAAGTACAGTAGGGTCATATAAACAATCATTAATGCAAGGCTCCAGACCAACTTCTCATCATCAACTTTAGAACAGGGCTGAGTAATATATAGAAATTACATCGAAATCGCAATATGAGACTAGATATTATGTTAGATTCGGAGTCATAACATCATTAAGTGTCGTCTTTTATCACTGCAATATCGATATTGTGGTTTTTGGTCAAAGATATTGTCGTATTTGATTTACTCTAAATCACCTAGACTTATTGTCATTTTGTCAGTCATAATAACAGCAACACACAGGCAAAGAGAACTGTTAACAGGACAAAGATGCCTAGAGGTTACAGATTTTCAACTCCCCCGACTACTGATAAGATGTGGGTGAGAAAAATTAATCCCTCAACAACTTTTGTCGAGGTGCCCTTCAGGGAATTATTTAGTCCCCAACTGCTTCAGTGGAGCTAATCAGTGGCCGACAGCACAGGGCTGAGGATGTACTAACTGGGCGGCCATCAAGTGTCATTTGAACTGTGTGCAAAAGAAGCAAAACATATACAGTATACCCTTCAAGTATTCATCCTTGGGTGAATAAATTATGAAAACAATGTGAAGGGGAATGTAGAAGAATCTGGACATTGTAATGACATTGTTAAGCAGATAATATGTGGTTCAACAGACCATTTATCTACGAGATTAGACATGAACATACTGTACATGCTCTGATTTGGGTCATGACTTTAGTGCTTCTCAGTGGTACTTGAGTTGATTTTCATGTGCACGTTCTTCTCTGTTGCTACCAATCATGATAAATACCCCCCAAAAAACATCCCTGTTGGCCATTTAGCAAAGCATACTTTAGAGGCATGAAGCCACTGAAGCCTTAAGCAAGAAAAAAGCTTAATATAAGAAAATTCTCAGTCTATTTACTCCTTCACGGTATGCGTGGAATCTGTTATCATGCTAAGAATGTCTCCTCTCTTTTGCTTATCCCATGACCCCTTCGTCGTACACACGAGTGGCACGTCACAACGAGGGTGCCAGTGAATCAGTTAGCCCTGCTGGGCTTAACAGTATTCACCGTTTAGTATACATGGATGGAGCTTTCATTATTGAGATGCGTCATCTTTAGAATACAGATTTGCAAAATCAGGACTCGCAGGTGACATCCTCCCTGTGTTTATCCCAGTGTTACATCAGCTGGGCAGTCTTCATTGGGGCTGACCTGAATGCGTCGAAGCTTGCATCGTTGCCATGGTGCGATGGCTTTGTGACTTTCATCTAACATCAATTCCAAGCAGCCCAATGCTACTCAAATCACTTTGAAGTTTGTCTTGAAATCATGGCTGCTGTTGCTGCGACCTGGACACTAACAAAGTGGCTAACTGTCGCATTATTTTAGATGCACTGACCAAAAACTGATATTTCAAAAAAGTTACTGATGCTTCGATGCCCAAAAACTAATATCCTTGACAGCACTAGTTGTTACTGATACTGGAATATTTCAGGCCTTTGTATCTCTGGCTGTCTACTCTAGTTTTCAGTGAATATAAGCAAACTCTATTTAGTCAAACATACAGTATGTTGTCCTCTTCAAATCAGTGTGCAAAGAGCAAGCTTTGAATTCTTTGGGTGTTGCCCTAACCAGTTTAAAAAGGCATGTGGTACTTGTGAAAAGGCTAAAAGTCCATGGCCTACTTTTCCTCCATACTCAAGGGAGAGATACAGAAACCAAGGTTGTGAGTAACCCTTGCGTACAAGTGAAGGCATCCCTGATATCTTCAATATGCAAGATAATAGTTATGGTCTGAAAAACAGCTCAAACATACATGTCTGAACTTGAGAGACCCACGCAACTTTGCCACCTATTTTGTAAATAATTTCTATTCACTTAGCTGCATAAAGCATAAGCAGGGTTTTACATTCGAATCCTATGTTAATGCCCACAAAACGTCTAAACACATTAATGTATTTGCAGCTGTCAAAAGCTGAAACTGTCTATTCACTAAAGGTTTGAACTAACTCTCAGACATTGTAGGCTCCCATTGTTTTAAAACCCATTAAAAACAGCTCACAGAGACATACTGCGGCCTTGACCTGAAACGATAAACATAAAACTGTTTACACTTCTTACGAATGTTATTTCTGGTGACAGTGAGGAATCAAAACAAAACTTGAGGCAAAGGGGAGACAACTTCTAGCTGGAGATCAGAATGGATGTCTTCACGTTTAAGTCTGGAAGAAGCGCAATACTTTTGATAAAAGTGGGACTGCAATGACTGGAGATAGAAAGTCAAGTTGAGAAAACGGCACAATAAACAAAACAATTATGGATCACAGGAGTCAAGCTGGTGTGTCTGTGCACGCTGTTTTTCCATGTATTTCTCAAAACTCACTTACTTGATGCAATCTGTCTTTCATTTAGAGAGTGGTAACTTTAAACTGCAGCACAGAACATACTGTACATTGATGGGTTTGTGCTTTTTACAGGCAGTAAAGAAAACAAACTGGCAACTATTTGATAATTTAGAAATTAAGCAAGTATTTGTAAGGAAAATGGCAAAAATTCAAAATTTCCAGAGTTCCAACAGTGAATATTTTCTGGTTTTCTTGGTCCTCTGTGATACCAAACTGAATATCTTTGACTTTTTGACTCTTCTTGGAACAAAACCAAACATGCAAACTTGAAAATGATGCAAACCTGAAAGCTTCATAAGCAGGTCAGTGGCCGTCTTGGTGGTGATGTCAGGGCTGAAGAGGGAGGCTGTTGTTGGACCGCTAGGACTGGATCTGACCCCGACTCCTACCCCAACTCCAGGTAGGTCCAGGGAGTTGGCACTGCTGCTGGGACGGTCCCTGCACATGCTAAAGGGGGACAGCACCGACAGATCTCTTTCCTGTGGTTCCTCCTTGATGTGGACGTGATTGGAGGAAGCCTCGACCGGAGGGGACGTCTGCTGCTGGGTGTCTGAGTGCAGCGGGGACAAGTCGGTGCCTCTCAGGTCTGCGGAGCCGCTGTCGCCCATCAGGGAGCCCTCGCCCTCCGTGTCGGTGGTGAGCTCCTCTTTCACCTTGACGTCTGTGCGAGGGAAGTGCTGGTGGCAGCGCATGTGAAGCTTCAGGCTGAAGTGACGGGAGGAGGTGAAGGGGCAAAGTTCGCACTGAAAGGTCTCACCCCGGTCCTGGTGCTGATGTACCTGGAAAAAGAGGACAGGTTTGTGTCAAATCGCTTCTCCTCTCCGGCACTACAGGACATCACAAGGAAAGACAGGACTCTTGGCTTCATTTCAGTTAAATTCATCTACAACAAACATGCAGTCGTGTTTAATTATGCCATGTAGAGGATATATTACACGTTTAACTAAAGCATGAGTATCCTTTAATGTTAACAATTATTTTCCAAGAGCCGTAATGACTGCTAATTAAAAATGATGTGGATGGGGGTGACAAGGGGTGCAGGGTCACAAGATGAAGAAAATCCATATCATCTCACCTTCATGTGGGACTTAAGATTGTCTTTGCGAGCACAGCGGAAGGGACACAAGGGACACTGGTGGCTTTTCAAGCCTGTGTGGATGACCATGTGTCTCTTCCAGTAGCTCTTGCGTTTGATGACCAGTCCACACACAGGACACTGGAATGGTTTGCCACCATCCTCAGGAGAGCCTTGAGGGCACCAAAGAACATTGTTACAAGGAGAGTCATTAGTCTTTTAGTGCATGGAAATACAGCATGTACTGTGTGTTGCTGAAATGTGCCTGTGTTACTGTAGCAAAATAAAAACCATGCCTTTCCAAACACAGACTACAGTATTCACTGATCTAAAAGAGACAACTACTCCACACCTAATGGTGAAAACTATCAAGGGAAATGCCAGCTGGAAGCAATGGAACAATGGAAGTAAAAACTCAAGCATGTTTTAGTATCTCGATTATTGTTGTTGGCTTCATATCCGGCATCCATTACTGTTTAATTGGTCTTATTAGAAAGAGGCATGATTGCATTACAAATTCTACAAGGGCCTGTCAGGATGGCTTCATAAGTATTCCAGTGCCGTTCCTTGAAAAACATCTGGTAATCAGTGTTTGGTGAAATTACTGTGCTCAGCCATTCATTGACCTGAGGTGTAAAACCTCGAGACTGCCTATTTGCAACAATAAACCGCCATCTGCGGCCCAACCTCTCCAAGCACAGCAGAGATCACAATGCAAAAATGACTTCTGCTTATTCTGAGTCGAGCCGAGTGGAGCGGAAATAAATCAGGAGAGAGGAAATGTGCGTCGGTTTAGTGCCTTCGTCTTAGCGCTTAACACGTTTGTTTCCTATGTAATCACAACCATGTTTCAGAAGAAGGGAGAAAGCATTCCCTTATATATTCAAAGTGCAGAACATGCCTGTGCAATAGAGTTTTATAGTGGAACTGGCAAGGGACGACAATAAAACAAGACATGACGGTCAATAATCAAGGTCACATTTTTCAGTCTGGCGACCAAACAACTACCTGCATTTTTACAGCGCTGCTCGACCTTGACGGCTCACGGGTTAGAGCAGACCCCCTTTTTAGCATGCAGATCACAGAATATTACATCGACTGCCTCATCTGTCTGAAGTCAATTTGATCCAGCCATTTTAGATTTGGCGGGGTTGCGACACAATCCCTCAAAAGTGCCCATCCATCTCCCTGAAAACATTCTGTTCTCCCTAAAGGCTACTTAGCGAGAGCATGCACTATGAGGCTTTCTCTCTCCCTGCGCACGAGTGGGATCTTTGTGTGCACCCTTGTTTGGTTATATGTCTACATCTGAGTACACACTTACAGAATATACTGCATGGCCATTTGTGAGTAACTGAGGAGGAGAGAATAAGAGGGAGAGAGAAAGAGAGAGTGTGTGCACGCATCTGTATCCAGTCAGTGGAAAGTATGATGTGTTTGGCCTTAAGTCTGCTGTGCTGATCAGTGCAGAGGGCTCTGGCTAGTGGGGGTTGAAGCCAGGAGGAGGCTGCCGAGATGGATATGGACTCCAGGGCTCCCCACTGTGCCGAGCACACACTGACGGCCCCCTTTTGGCAGCACGCACATCCGAGCACAAACGAGCTGGTCTGGGAAGGCAGTGAGGTCTCAGTCGGAACCCCCCGTTGAGCCCACAGACCATTTCCCAGACTAGAAGGCCAGCCAGGGCTGTTTTCTCTCGGCTATGCTCTCTGCTCGGCTGACAGTTAAGCTGAGGCTACACTACTTGCTACTTCAGCGCCAGTGAGGTGAGAACAAAACCATTACAAAACTAGAGAAAACATGTCATGGAAGTTCAGAATTGTGCTTTTTTGGTGACAAGTAAACCTGCTACTCTCCCACACAATGACAGCGAAGACATTGTGTCTTTTTGGAGTCAAGCTGCCGTTGCAATATTAGTTTTAACTTATCAGTACTAACAGTTTTGATTTGCTCGTCATGACTTAAATGGCATTAGTTCTTTAGTAAATGCTGAATGGGAAGAAGTACAATGAGAGGGGAGAGTTCTCTTGAACTTCAGGTAAATCTGTATGATTATTTTTCAAAAGAAAACGGCATGATGAAGGAAGATGAAAACTTTTCATATAGTGCATGACGTGTAGCAGAAACGACCTTGAACCTTCACAGACTCTCTCTTCTATACAAACATAAGGTCATTTTGTTTCATTGTAGCAACCTTGTTTAAGCGTAAGTAGCTTGATTCTGTGTTTAATATAAGGCAACAATTCAGTGTGTTTTAGTGTTTTGCAATGAACAGAAAAATACAACTTTTCTCTGCTAAAAATATCCAAAAATGCACCTAACCTAAGCTGGGCTGTACTCTTATCATCAATACTGATGCAACTATAATATTGATGAATGTAGTATTACTGTTACAGTGATCGCAGTACAGACATTATTCCTTTAGATTACCTGCTTGGCTGTTGGGTTTGCCTCTGCCCTTTGGAGTAGAGGGTAACAGCAGGTCTAGGCTCTGGGTGGGTGTAGAGGGCGTGGGAGCCTTCTGGTTCTTGTCCAGCAGGGGCTTCACATCCTCTTGGAGGACCCCAGGAGTCGCCAAGGAGGAACCATCCTTCTTCTCTGCCAGCAGGTTTCCCGCTGCCCTGGCTGCCACCTCTTTGAGCAAGGCAGCAGAGGAGGTCATTGAAACAAGTGAGAGAAAGGAACTAGCCGAGGACTGGTGGTCAGTAGCAGCACTGGCGGTTGACGAGGCTTGGCTCCGCTCGCTGACTTTCTTGGAAAGTGCAGCGAGGGTGGAGCTAGCTGACTGTGGGCTGAACGGAGAGTTGAAGGCATCAAAGCGCACCACGTCTTCTCCCCGACCACCCCCTCCGAGGGCGGGCACTGCAGATGAGGCAGAAGTGGAGGAGGAGGAAGGAGTCGTTGAGGAGGAGGCCACGGCATTCTTGTCTTGGAGCACGGCATTCGCTGCTGCTTTTAACTTCTGGATTGCAGAGTCTGGGGACAAGCTGGAGCCGCAGGGTGTGGAGCAGCTGGCCGGTGGCCACTTATCTGCAACACCTGCCCATACGAAGCCACTGCCGTTGCTAGGGGTGACAGAGTTAAAGGGGTCAAGGGGCTCTTGCTTAATGTTGGTGACTGAGGGTGCCAAGGAGGCTGGTGAGGCTGAGCCGCTGTTGTTGTTATTGGCCAGTTTTCGGGCAAGAGCACTTAACTGCTGGGCGTGGTGGGAAGACGGGGAGAGAGTCAACGGTGGGGCTAGACCTATCGGAGGAGACTCCCCCCCAGCACCTCCCCTGGATGACCGACCCAGAAGCTCCCCAGTGTCAAGTTTCAGCGACCCAGCCTCTAGGAGGCGCCGTAGGTTGCTGCTGAGGGGTTTTCCCAGGGCACGAGATGCTGCCTCGCCATACAGTGACGATACCACAGAGGAGAGTGTGTCCTGGGTCGAGAATGCACCTCCATCCAGTCCAAGAAGTTCCAAAGAGGCACGATGGACGGGCGTGGGGCAACCCAATGAGCTCTCACCTCCACAGGTATCGTGGTCCCCGGACCCAGTGCTGACTCCAGGCCGTTCATCAGGAGAGGAGCCCCTGGCCAAGAGAAGCTCATCCTGGGTGTCTCCGTAGGACGACGACTCTGAGCGTGTGTCAGAAGCATTCCCAAACCAGCCTTCTTCCTCCACAGGACCGTCATCTGGCCCTCCTTCCTCGTTGCTGTCCACATCTGAAAGAGGAGAGAGATCATGCATACAGATATCTCCATGTTGCTCAAGAAAAGACAGTTAGACTAGGCATTATCTGTCAGCTTAACACTTAAGCATCCTAAGTATGAATTGTGAAAGCCAAACACTTAAGAGTTCAGTAGCGGGCATGGTCATAGCCTCTGGATAGACAGCTTTTAACAGTGGAAATTACTATTTACTATTAACTTTAATTATTTCTCATCCTTGCTCGTCTGATATTGCAGAGCAGTTAGTAATCTGTCCTATGTGGAAGCCTAATTGAAACCACGATTTTGAACATTCATAAACGCAATTACCTGCCCAAACCAAGTCAAACGGCCAATTGAAGCTGCAAAAAATACACTTTATTGCTCAGCAAGGAGAACACTAAAATGACTTCCAACACAAATTGAACATCTTTTTATACAATGGCAGCTTTCCACCAGGCGCATCCAAGATGTTTGAGTAATTTAGATTTTTCTGTCCTTTTTTAACCATATTTTTCCCACCCTTGGTCTGGAAGAGTCTAGTAAAGGGGTTACCATGACAACGGGTCCTTCTGGGAGGCTAGACAGCAAAGATTAGGGTAATGGAGGTTACAGAACTAGATTAATATTCATGAGCCTGCAGATACCACCGGGGAGCCAATAAGGATAGGGTTAAGGTCACCAAGGGTCATTAATATACACTTCATGTATCAATATTCATAAGCAAAACATTACAGCTTGCCAGACAAGGGCGAACAAAGAAAAGTGAATATTCCTGATACATATTAACAAACCTCCATAAGAATATGTCAAAAGCACCAAGCCTGGGCAAAACAAAATGTCAAAACTGACTTTTTTTCCCCTCCTCTTTGGGTTCGTGTACACAACCTCACAAAACATCTGATACAAAGCAAACTGGCTGAGATTTCTCAGAAAATTGGGCACTCATGCAGCTGCAAAAACATGTGGCAATGAAAGAATTATTTAAAATGTCTCACACGCCAACATACATGCAGTATATCCACACACACCAAAGCCGTCTTCACCCTCGCGACCCTGACAGAGGCCTGGTGGGTCTGCTCTCTGTTTACAGGCAACGGCAAAATGGTTGCCTGGCAACCCAGCCCAGCGACCTGTTGGGATCATTAGAGTTGGCTGACATCTGGCCAGCGTGGCTCGCCATGGTCCACAAAGGTGACCACAATCACAACCCACTATGACCGCTACTCTCCTGCTGCAACAGATATCAAACAGGGCTTACACACTTCCACAAAGCATCTTCTCATCGCTGTCTTTCACGCACACACATCTTACATTTTTCAGCAACACACAACCAAAAGCTGACAGGAAACATCAGATGCCAAAAACCAAAACAATGGATTATGTTATAACACTGGCCTTAGGGGCCTCCAACCCGTCTGTGACCCCGTGTCTAATAGACATCACCTACACAAACAATGCAAGATGTAAGAGACTGATGAGCAAGACAGCGTGTATGATCCTTCTCATTTCTTACTACTGTTCTAAAGGTGAATGGAAACGTCATAATGCGACGATTGTGAGCCCAATTTTCCCATGCTCCTTGAAGCCATTTTGCCACCTGAGTAGGGTTAACAGGAATGAAAGAGAAGGAGCGGGAGAAAGAGCCAGTGAGTCATGCAGGGCAGGGCTTGACCCATTTCCATGTGACATGCGAAAAAGCAGCAAGAGCCACTAATGGCTGTAATGTGGTTAGAGGGAAATCGCTAGATTGCTGACCCAAGGTCTCAGCTTTGAGGCCGAACTCTCTAGCTTCCTTGGTTCACTCTTAAACCTCAGGGTTAGGTACAGCTGAACGCAACACTACACCACTAGGCTTCTGCCAGAGTGCTACAGTGCACTGATGCACTCCACTACCATGGCTTTGTGTGTCACAAGTGAGCCACCCCTGTGGGCGGAATGACATTTCCCAAGGTCATGGTCTCCGGCCCAAGCTCTAAGGGGGCTTCGTCTGAGCTCTGCTCTCACAACTGCTGCTGTATGCCCACCACACGCACGGGGACAAACATATGCACGTGCATACATATGTTTAGACTCCAAATGCACAGCCAAGAATGTGATTTAATACTGAAGTCCTCCCCTCACTGCATTTCTGACACACATTCAAATGCTTTGCCTCCAGTGTGGTGGCTGGCTCTGCGACAGTAACTGTAACCCCCCCCCCCCCAAGTGATGAAGGCATGGAGATACGGGCCGAGGCGGCAAGCGTCTGCCACTGAAAGGGAACCATTTAGCGGTGTAATGGCGGGGATGACTTGCATGTTGAGACAAACAGCTGCGGGGTGCTCAGCAGTCTGGTTCTGTTATCACTCACACACGGGTGATTCAGTGGTGCAGCGGCAGGGGATTTTCTCTCTGGGCCACAAAGATGTATAGCGCCACCACATTATAGACAAAAAGAGAGCCATAACAGGTCAAAGTGCAAGTTGAAGCTACATAAAGAGGAGGCCGTGAGGCTTCGAGACCGGCTAAAATAAACTGCCTTGAGCTTGAACAGAGATGTACACCAAGCAGCTAAAAATATTTTGATGTAGCACCTCTGTGACTTACGGTGTTTGGAAACCTGTGTGTTGTGTTAACCTGTCACAAAAAAAGAGACAGGGAGCTCACAGCCTGCAACTACAGCTAAAAACAGTTGGACATTACAGGTAGTGTGCTTGTTCATTGTTTCACCACGCAGTGCTGTCAACAATCTCCATTTGTGAACTTGGCAGGATTATTTTGGCCGTGGCTTTTCTAGGTCAGAGAGGGGTGCATGTATGTGTATGTGTGTGTGTGTGTGTGTGTGTGTGTGTGTGTGTACGCACATACATACAAGTTTAGTACAGGAGTCAGCCAGATTTCCTTGTCAAACAGAATGATTGCTGGTAAAGGGAAGAGTGCGAGTTAGAGAAGGGAGAGAAGAGCAAGGGACTGGAGTAAAGGTAGGTCAGGAGGTCACTCACCACATGACTTGTGTGAGGCTGCTGACTAACATATTCCCTCTCTCTCTCTCTGTCACACACACAGACACACACACACACACAGACACACACACACACAAAGCTATTCTGTGACTTAGCCAGGCATGAAAATTGGCCTCGCTGACCCCAGGCCTGAACAGGGTAGGGGGAGAGGAGACGGGGAGGCGAAGGAAGGAAGGGACAGATACAGGGATGGTTAAGGGAGGGGTTGATTTGGCTTGGCAGGAAAGAAGAGGAGGCCATTAGCCGATTAAGGCTGGACAGGGGTGCATCAATACTGTGCCGATGTCAAAACGAGAGTCATGCCCATGAGCTAATATAGCAATGAGAGTAAGAGAGTCAAAGGGAGAGGGAGCACGAGCTAGAGGGAGGTAGCGCAGGTCAGGGAATCACTAAAATCGCAAAGATTGCTGACCGCAAAAGCCATTAAAAGTGAGATAACATAAAAGACTGCCACAACATACCAAGACTAAAGCCATCACATCTACATCGGCAAAATGATTAGTCTTACATCTTTGCTGCTGCGACTGGGAGGGGGAGACTGTGGTGGTATGTGTGTGTCTTTGGGTGTGGGTTAAGGAGGTAGAGCAGGGGGTGAGGATATAGGAAGGAGGGCAGTGAGCATGGATGCAGTGAGGAAGGAGCCACGGTGGTAATTAAGTGTCCGGCTGGGCCCTGGCGGGGGTTGCCACGGCCGCGGGCTATGCTAATGAGCACGCCCGGCGGTCAGGGCTGCCTTATTAACGCCTGCTGGACAATATGGTGGGAGAGACGCTCTACTGGCGGGCTCACGTCTCTGCAAATGACTAACAGTCCTCCCGAGGAGGAAGGTAATTCCATTAATTGGGACACACTGGATCAGGATCGCTTCCCTTCCCTTTTCCATAATCTCTCACCAGCTTGATCTCTTTCACACCCACATGTTTTTTTTTCTTGTATAGATCACTCCCTTCATCCCTGTCCCTCTTTCTCCCGACTCCATAACTTGGAATACAGATATTAAAAATAAATAAACAAATGAAGCGCAGATGCTCTAAATACATCCAGCTGGATGTGTGGGAGCTAGCAGACATACTTTCCCCCCTTCACATGAAATTATACGCCATCAATCTGTTAAATGCTGTCTTTTGCAGGAGCAACATGATAATTGCTCCAAAGTTTATCCATCATGTTATTTCCATTAGGAAGTTGATGAAACATGACAACCAACAAGGCTGGGCAAGACATGTGATCACTAAAGCAAAATGTCACACAATGGAGCATTTACTTTTGATGAACTTGGTGATGGTGTGATAGCCTTTGTCTTGTGTTGGGATGCAATGCCACTCCCTTCTACATTAACCTATTAAAGTAAGTGCCTATCAGACAGATTGTACTCTTAAAAGCAGCAATTCCATATACATACACATGGCATATGTGTAGTCACTTATATTCTTGTCAAGGCCTTTACTTTCAACGACTTGAAAAACTGACAATTTTTCTTCCACGCAAGAGTAAGCTGAACCATTAAACATTCCTCTAGCAATTAATTATGTTGACAATATGTCTTGATACATAGGAAAAAAAAAACCCTGCTGGTTATTGATTGAGGTTCACATTAGACTTCATGAAAACTAAGAATCAACTCTTCCATTTCAACTCCAGCTACCTCCGTCATCCTGCACAACTGGCAGTCTGTGACAAAGACGAAAAAGAGCTCATCTTTTAGCTGGAATCTGAGGTGAGGCGATACTCTTGGTGAGGATCAGGGTTCAGGCAGCAGGGCTATATATAATGGCGGTTGAGTCGTATTGAAATGTAGTGCAAATTACCATCTGTGTATTTTCGGCCTTGGCCTCCGTGGTTTGTGGGTACTTTGGGCGGCATGCCAGAGGTGAAACAGGAAGGAGAAGTGTTCTTGGAAGAGAATGAGACGACTGAGAGCCCCAGACCTCTGAAATTCCTCATTGCAGATGAAGTGCACTTTACCCCCTGGTTTATTTTTCCCTTCCATTTTTAGCATCTCATGTTAAA